ATATATAGTTAGTGGATGAGATTGCCTACGTTGTCTACATTCTGCCTTACCAAGTCCTTTGTATTATCAATGCAGTACCTAAATCCTCTTCCTCTGTCAAGAATGACACTCAGCTCTCAACAAAGTTTCAGCCAGACACTAATTAACACCCTGCTATTTGTAAACAAATTATCCAAGATGCAGATAACCCCACCAAGAAGGCAGAACTGCCTTCACTCAGACCTGCAGGGGTCTGACTGCTTTCAGCTCCTCATTGGGCTGAGTCCCGGGTAATGAACTCCTGCAGGACCAAAGTGCTGTGTAGAGTGACAGAAGCACCCAAGTCAGGCTGGGAACCACAGAATGGCTGCAAGTATTGCTTTCCACAAAAAGGATCAATTGTGTCTCAATAAAACATGAAAATTTGAAGTGAGAAAGGTTTCACCTGTCATCTGGTTGAAAACACTTTTTTTTTTTCAAATGTCAGTGCACATTCAGTGCAACACAAAAGTGATGTTAGAATCTGAAAGAGTCTCACCATCCTACAGTATCTTTCTTAGTTGAAGCAGTCCTAAGCTAACACACAGCTATGCAGCTAGAAAACAGAGACGAGACCCTGAAGCCTGGTTAACTCTAAATGACTGCATATGCATAAACAGCCACACCAACTTCTGTAAGCTAAAACAACAGTGATAAGGTTACGAGACTTTGTGGTTTGTTCAATAGTGCTGCACCGATTTAAATGCAATTCCTTACTGCCTTAAAGTAGAAGCAGCTAAAGATATTTACCTAGAATCTTGAAGAACAGAGCATCACATGTAGCCCTTTTAGCAAACAGTATTTTAAATTTTTACAATGTGTAACTCCAGCATTGTAACAAAATTACATCTGTTTATTCAGCTCCTCTGAAGATTTTCCTACACATACCAGTATTTAGGCCAGAACTGACAATTCATCATACAGAAGAAAGTGACCCCAGGTTGGCAGGGCTATGCCAGCAGAAACTCAATGAGTTACAATACTGAATGCTCTGCTGCAATCACTGTTTTGTTTATAGTTGAAGCCTTTGCCACAGTAACACAAAACCCAGTTTCAGAGGTACAGCTACACTGTACTCAGAACAGTTACTGTAAAATTCCAGCAAAACAGTTCTAGTACAGATAAAGGTATAGCCTGAAAGTAAAACTCACCCCCCAAAGTCTTCTACTTCTAAGTCAGTATTAACAATCATAACATTTTAGAAACCCTACCCTCCACCTTCTCTTTTTCCTCCAGAGTGCTAGAGTGCAGATCAATCACATCTTTGTAATTAAAATCATTCATTGCTGGTTTTATGTGTAGAAGAGTTTAGGGAGACTGCCATCAGATGAAACACTAGCATGTTTAATATGCAGTACAAAATACAGTTTGTTTGGGTTTTTTTCAAGCAGTATGACTTTTCAACTATTCCCAATAGAAGCCTAATGAATACTGAAAATGAAGGAATTAGTATTTGGTATCACAGTTTACTGGGTATAAAGAGCTAGCCTGTCATTTCATCTAGTAGTACAATGCATCTGATAGGAAGGAAAATATTACCCAGATTATACTAATTACATGCCAAATTCACGGGCTCAGCATCACTCATATAGCTTTTTCCTCCAGACTAGTAGTAACCCACATTTTGATGTGCCAGCAGTTACATAAACAGAAATGAAAATATCAGGGTTTTGAGACACAGGATTGGATATTCTTGTTTAAAGTTAGCCATTTTCATTTGCAGGCTAAACAAAGTTCATCTTGTCTCTATTTTGTTCCTGAAACTAATTAGAAGCTTCCCATCTGGACACACGCCACTCACTGCTGTAAAATTCAAGGAGGCTTAAGTACACGTGAATCCCTCAGACAGCTTCAGATACACGAGCCTAAAGACACTAAATCAAGAACCACCTGTGAGTACATGTGATATATGCCCAACAGCACCTATTAAACATTGCACATAACAAAACAGGTTCAGCTATATAAGAGACTTTTCAAATTATGCAAGATCTATCACTTCAGAAAGGAGTCACTGCAGCTAGTATTTATTCTGTGAATATACAGACATGCCATTGATCTTAAGTTTTCAATTGCATACCTTCAATTTCTAACACCGTGACATTTATGAACCTCACCACATTTATATGACTTTGGTTTTCAATAAAAATACTGATTCTAATAACAGCAGAACTATGTGCACAGAGGTCAATAAGAATGTACCACTGCAGTACAAGAAGTCAGACACCTTCTCTCTGCAGGCTTGTTTTGAATTGTTTATTGAGGTTTAAGAAGTCATCCACATTTCTATAAATATAGACATTACTTGAGTAAGTGACTTACAATGTCACCAGTGCAGGTACATATATAACCACCATACAAAAGCTCCACTGGAAGCTACTTCAGTTTATTCAAAAAGGACCAAGATGTCATTAAAAAAACAAACAGCTGTCACTTTCAGTTATTGAAGACACTAAAGTGCATTTTTGGTTACCTCCTGGTAAAACAGCTGCTGGATAAAAAGTTTGATTTCTTTTTTTTTAACATAGCTAAATTACATCGATTGACGTTCAGATTTGTAGCTGTCATCCTCCTGATACATGGCAGCACGTAAGAAAAATGCATTACTTTGCTGGTCGAGAGGAGGAACTAGATTTTGCTATTTTTTTTTTACTTTTTCTTTAATCTGGTATTTCCAACAAAAGTTTAAAGATAATCTAACATTCTGATGAATTTTTACAGCACCACTAAAGTTAGTCTTAAAAATCCAGGCTCTGCTTTAGCCCTTTCAATTGCTAACCAAGTATCTAGAGAGTCACTTGAAGCTCTGTACCAGTAAGAAAAACTACCCTCCCTTTTCCGTCAAGCACTATCCTGCCCAGTTAACACTGTTTGCACACTCTGTAAACAAGAACAGCTTAAAGCATAATTAAAGCAGAACACAGGCCCATCTTGAAAATCTTCTTCCCCCTTTCCCTCCCCCCCACCCCCGCCCCCGGTAGTGTCTAATGTTCGAGTGTATAAAGCATTATTACATTCCTAACCACAAAATACTGTAAGAGTCACAATAAAAAAAGCATACGTTGAAAGTGACGCAGCAATACCACTTTAATAAAATGGGGTATTTTGGGGAGATACAAGATGTGGTCTGCTAATTTTACCTCCATCTTTACTTTTTTATATTGCCAGGAAGCCACCAGTAGAGCAAAGAATGCCGCACTGGTTAGAACCACGGCAGCCAAAACTGTTCTCTATAGCTTCTTTACTGCAATTCGTTGACTTTTACTTTCATACTAGGAGGACATAATACTCACCATTCAGAAATAACTTACTAATTTTGAGTTAACAGTTTAAACCTGATTAGCACTGTATAATGATGAATGGCTACTTCTAAAAAATAAAAACCTTACATACCAAAAACATGCTATATGTTGGGAAACCACTTTTTCATGCTCCAGTGTGTTGTTTACATTTTTTACTTGTCAAAGTCTTTCTTTTATGAGTTGAAGAATCCACAGCACTTAAAATTTCAAGTATTTGAACTGAACATGATTCTATTTCAAAAAGTGCCAAATTAAAAAAAACCAAACATGTGGCCAAGCTTTCATGGAAATCCCCAAACAAGGTAAAAAAACAGCCTCAACGGAATTATGGGTTACTAGCTTCATACATGTTTTTAAAGCTGTATAATGTTCACCTAAGCACTCCACTTACGAGCATCAGAAGTTTAAAAATACAAACACCTTCAACGCAAACTGCTTGCAGAGGGCACCCTCAAACGTATGAGTACAACACTAAGCAGAAAACCCTCGTTTTATTTGGCTATTTAGACATCCATTTCCTGATAGCATTACATCATCTATTAGGGCTTCTGAAATAATACAGAGCCATAAAACTCAGAAGAGACTAGTTAAAAAAAAAAAAAAAGTTCCACAACTGCACACCCTTCCTTCACACAGCAAGGTTGTGCAACTGATTGTTTAACGTAACTAAGTTTAACGGCATCCAAACAGGCAGGCCTGGGTTTGGAAGCTGTCTTAAGTCAAATTTTGACCATGTAACTACTCTAAAACAGAAAGGTCAAAATAGAACTCATCTCTTCTTTTTCTGCTGCCTCAACATTTTCCTTCGCTTAATTATCATATCATATAGTTTCTCCAGTCCCTCTTTGAGTCCGTCTCCAATGATTGCACAGGTAGGTTGCAAATGCCAGGGTGTTGAAGAACTCAGCTCACTCATTGCCAACATCTTCTCGATTTCAGAAAGGGAGAGAGAGTTCCTCAAGTCCTGCTTGTTAGCAATGATAAGGACAGGCACTCCTTGATTCTCAGATATCCTAGTAATCTTATGAAGTTCTGTTTTGGCCTCCTCCATCCTCTCAACGTCGACGGAGTCCACCACAAACACGATGCCATCGGTGCACCTTGTGTACGACTTCCACAGCGGCCTCAGCTTCTCCTGGCCGCCCACATCCCAGAAGTGGAAAGTGACCGTCTTCGAGTTGCCCAGCGTCACTTTGATTTTCTCAGTATTAAATCCTTTAGTGGGGACAGTGTTGACGAACTCATTGAACTGCAGTCTGTAGAGCACTGTCGTCTTCCCAGCGCAGTCCAGCCCCAGGATGACAATGTGAAAGCTCTGAAAGGAAGGCAGGCTGGAGAGGATCGGCGTCTGGTCGGAGAGTCCATTCCCCATTGCCAGCAGGGAAGGTGACAGCAGGCTGCCACCAACAGAGGCGGCTCCCGCGGCTGCGCTCGGATCCTGACAACGACACGAACGTCGTTAGACCCCGCTCCGCCTGCGCCGCACGGCCGCACCGCGCCGGCCACAGCGCCGCCGCCCTGACTGCGGGCGCGGCTGCGGGAAGCAGCGCAACGCGGAACGGCTCACGTCCCTCCCGCCCGGCCCAGCCCGGCCCGGCCCGGCACCCCCGCCCGGGCAGCCCCCCCACCCCGCTCGTACCGCTGGTGCCTCAGCGCCGGGAGGCGCGCGCTGCCCGCGCCCCCATGCCCGCGCGCCGCTCCACTGCACGCGCCGCCGCCTGTGCTTGTGCTCGTGCTGCTGCCGCTGCTGATGCCGCCCGCGCGACTCTCCCCTGCATCTGGCGGCGCGGGCGCCACCCAGCGCGCGGCTAGCCCCGTGCGCCCCGCCCCGCGGGCTCCCATTGGTCCTGCCGAGCTCCGGGGCGGGGAGGAAGGCGCACTCCGCCTCGCCCATTGGCTGGCGGCGCCGGCCACTGATCGTACAGCCCGGGTTGTACCGCCCGCAGCCCGACTACCCGAGGCCAAGCGCGGCCGGGGAAGGGGACCGCTCCCCACCCACGCCCTACTTTGAGCGGCCCCGCTCACTCCCTCTGCCCTCCCGCGGGGTGGAGCCGCTGCCACACACGAGTCCCTCGGGGAATGCCGCGGCGGCCGCGCCCTCCGCCCACGGCAGCCCCTCACCCCCCGCGGCGGGCGGTGGCGCCCCGCCTCTCCACCCGAAGCGCGTGCGCTCATTAGCTGTGGGTGCTGTCACTCCGACTCTCTCCCACCAGCCCAGGAGGCGGCCCGGCGGCGTTCCGCCTCTCCGCCCGGAGCGCGTGCGCTCATTGGCTGTTGGAGCTGTCACTCCGCCTTGCCCCGCCTGCCCGAGGGCGGCTCGGCGGCGCCTCCCCGCGCACCTGCAGCACGGCTGGGGCCGGCCGCGCCCTGCGCCGCTGAGGCACCGTGCGGTGTGCTGTCGGCGCGGTGCTCTGCAGTTTTTGCTTCAATATTAGTGCCCCAGGGCCCGAGGTCCGGCTCTGTGCGCTCACTGCGCGTACTGTGCCTGCCTTTCGCCTGTCCCCGCGAAACGGGAGACACAGACGGGAGGAGCCGGGAATAACGGAATGGATGAGGCGGTCCTGATGGACGCCTGGCACACAGAGATGGCAGCAGTGCTCGGGTCGGCGTGAACACTCACAGCACCTAGCTTATTTACGAGGAAGGTTTCCCATAGCACAGGAATGTGTTAAGTAATTCTTCGTTTTAATATTGCAGCCTGATTTGAGCAGTGAAGCCTTTCCCAGAACTAATGACTAATGTCTGATAACACATTTACTGTTTTCAGGGCATACAGGTTTTAGAGGAGGCCTGGGGAGTACTTTGTGTCAGCTACTTTTGCTATCTTACCATCGTTCTGTTCCTTCCCACAGCTTTTTTCCCTTAGTGCCTTTGCCACTGTAGTTTTTATACAGCTGTGGCAATGTAGATGGTTACTCCTGCTTCTGTTGCATGTACACCAGCTCAGTGTAAAATAGCACCAAGAAGGATCAGACACACTGGCTTCAGAGCAGAGCATACTACAGAAGTCTTCATCTTTAGATAAAAATTTAATCAATCAATCTTTTTGATAAAAGCATATGTTTAACTGCTAACTAATACTAGTGTGCTAATCTACTCTACCAATCCAAGTTTCTGTACTTTGTACTGCAATCATAGAATAGTTTGGGTTGGAAGGGGCTTTCAAGATCATCTAGTTCAACCCCCCCTGCTGTGGGCAGGGACACCTTCCACTAGACCAGGTGGCTCAGAGCGCTATCCAACCTGCCCTTGAACACTTCCAGGGATGGGACACCCACGGCTTCTCTGGGCAACCATCCAAATCTGACCAGCTGAGCTCCAGCAAAAAAAGAAAAAGTGGCATTTTCAATACTAGTCTTGCTTTTTTTCTAGAAGAATTTAAGATGTCTTGATGTGGCTGCTGAAAAGGGATGAAATTATAAGCGTATTCAGGCAATCAATCATATTTCCTGTTTTCCCCTTTGAAAGCATTGTACTCTGTATTTTAAATATCAGAGAATTTTATATAAAAGAGAAGTAACTTAATAGTAAAGGGACATATAATAGTAGCAAAAATTCCACCATGTGCTGTAGGCAAGGTTTCATGTTATTGAAATGTTAAAATACCCATTCTAGTCCTACTAAAAATAAAATTCTAATTTGCTTACATCTGAGATTAATGTTTCACTGCTTTTAACTTTGTTAGTTATTTACATCCTGATCTTGCAGACGATTCTCTTTGGAGGAAGTAGTCTATTTGTATAGGAAGCTTATTTTACTTCCATGGAAAGGAGGGGCAAGTTACTACCCCTGAGGCCAACTGGTAAGGTTTCTGATTTGGCAGCATTTTACACTACTTTTGCATAACATGAAGAACTGCACAGAATACAACATAATAGAAAAGCATTTAGAGTAATGGTAAAAGTGGGCCTTAATTATTTCATGGATGGTTTTCAGTAATTTAAAATTGGAGGAAACCAGCTAGAAGTACCTAGTTACGGAATATTACTGGAGATAATAGATTTATTCATAAAATTTGACAAGCTGAAATAAATCAAATCGACCTTTATCTCCACCTACAAAATTAAGTATCCCCTATTTTTAATGGAAAAATAAGCCTATTAGATACTACACTCTTCTAAATTATAACGTCTGATTGTTACTAAGATCCGTTCAAACTTTACACAGCTTTTTAATAACACATTTTACAATTAATTCCACAAGGAGGGATACCGGCCAGCTCCTACCCTTATTGAAGGTATTTTAATTTTAAATATAAAATGTGTAAAGCTTGCCTTTATCTCTTGTTCTGCTGTACAGCAGTTAGTACATAATATTTCAGTGCCCTTGAAAAGGGAGGGATACAGAACTGATGCTTTTCTAAGGTATAGTGTATCCAACACACCAGGTGTTGGAATCTGATAGATCATGCGATTTTTTGGAAGAAGAGTTTTATGACATCAGGAAGGTAATTTTAAGAATAAATAGAAATTAACATCTTCAGGAACATGAGCATTTGTATATATTTGTAAATATATACATGAAAATGATCCATGCTCTCCAGAAAATGCTTGGACACTCCCTACAGTTAATTTATCGCATCTACCTGTTGTAACTTGCTATGAAGTGAATTATGAACTCTCCGGAACTGGGACTATTTTTCACTGTAAGTCTTCTTAGTGTTTTGCACCTTGATCTTAATTAATGCCTGTAGGCATTTCTGCAAAACAACTATTAAATGACAATCCAAGTTGATCAACTCCTCCCATACACTTCTTGCTACTTTAGAAGTCAAACATACAGACTGGGCAGGTGTTCCAGGTGTTATGGAGTAATGGTATCTAAATTAGTGGGAGTGTAGGAGAGTTGACACATTCAACCTTTGATAATTGAAGGTAAGGGTGAAGCAAGGCTTTGATTATCCTGTAGAAGTGTTTAATAAAGGAAGTGTACAGAAAGAAGTGTACTTACTTTCTTTTCGAGTGTGTAGCTAAATGGGGGGAGCAGGCTGATCTTAGATGACAGCTGAAAATAACTGCAAGATACATATAAGAGGAAACAATGAAAGCCACGTGCAGACTTTTTAATGCAAAATAAGGAGGTACCTAATTTCTATGTTGGGGTCATTTCATGTATTTATACTTCTCTCATTTCCTACCTAATGGCTATAGATCTGAGTTCTTTCTGGCTCAGCATTCCTCAGCTCATGAAAACAACTGCAACTTCAGCTTCTCTGGGCTAAAAACCTTCTCCCCTTTCCTGGATACCAATTTACCAGGATAAATAGTAATATATTATTTTCTACATATGTTTTATACATATAATCTGTAAATATTTTCCACACAGAGACCCCTGGTGGCCTAGTGGTTAGCGTGCAGGACTTTCACTGCTGCGACCACGGGTTCAAATCCCGGTCTCCTGGCCTGATGGAGGTCGTTAGCCCTGTGTGGCCATCCATCTATGAGAAGGACACTCTAAACAAACCTACGTCCTGAGGACCTCACTGCCATTGTCCAAGCTTGCTTGGCCCCGGCAGATGAACCTTAGGATTAAAGGGTGGGCTCAGTTCAGCGCAGGCTGTGTCTCACCTAAAAAATCCATTGCGCAGGCTGGAAAGGTAAAAGACCTTTCCCCAAATCTTCGTTCGCGAAGATGGGCCATTATTATTATTTTCCACACAGAAGAGAGCCTGGGACAAACCTTTGTATTTCAAGAAAAAGAAGCAGTACTTGCGTAACATGCAGCTTCCTCACTATGGTAAAGTAGTTTTTTGGGGTTTTGTTTCTTTTTAATTCCATAATGGTCCAGGGATAATTTTAGTTCAGGGCAGGTTTGAAAGGACCAGGCTTCCAATGCTGCAGCTATTAGCTGACTCTGTGAAACTTAGATAGTCCTTATTAGGGATGCGGACCATGAAATTGGTTGAAATATTGCCAAGAAAGAATCAGCATACAGTGGAAAGATAAGATGCTTGGAAGTTTAAATATTATTACCCAGCAGAGACTTAGGTTACCTTTTAATACACATCACCTCATGCACTACAGGAGCTATCTTGCAGTGCCCGGATAACAACAAAAATGCAAAGGATCATCAAACATCTACTTGCAAGGCTTCACATATTTTTCAGGAGAAACCACCTTTCATGTGGAAATAGCAATTCATGGAAATTAAAAGCTAGCAGTTCACGAGAGGTTCACTGTAGCAGGACATTCAATCAGAGCTTTCATTAGTGCCGGTCATTTTAAAGGTAAATTCCACTCAAGTAGATATGACTGTTTTATACAACCACATCTAGTGACACAGCAGATGAGAAATTCCTTCCAAAGCAAAGTTAGTGGGGTTGAAATTCCTTGTCCAGATAAGCACGATCTTCCTTTTGTTTTTATTAAATACCATCATTCAGTAGAATAGGCTAATGACATTCATTATCCAGTTCAATAGCTAATCACCTTAGAGTTATTTTTTAATAGCACCACGTGTTGTGTGTAACAAATTTGATGCAAATCAAATGAAAAATTAAACATTGGAGAAATGACCCAGAGCCCATACACTGCAGATGCAGGGGGATATGGTTAGAAATACAGAAGAGTAAAGGACAGAAGCACACAGGAGCAAATGCCGAAGGAGGGAGAGGAAGGAACCAGCTGCATCATGGAGCTGAATTAGTTGTAAAACACAAAGGAATGAAGCCATAAGGAGGATGAAATTATTGCAGGGAAAATGCACTGCCAACTACAGAAGCTGGCATACAGCAATGGTATCCCAACCCTCTGTCTTCATGAAAGAGACATGTTAGCAGCCTCACACCACCAATTCTTGCTGCTCCATGTGGAAACAGAGCAGATTTCTCAATGTGTATGAAACAGAAAAATCAACTGTGTTTCAATACAATGACATGGCAGACCTAGGCTAGTGTAATATGTATTAATGAATGTGTAATAGCAATAATGATAATTATTACAGTAACCAATGGTAGCTTCATTGTACATTCAAAAATTGAACTTACTTCTCTTCAACTATACCCTAGATCTAAGATTAGAACTAAAAAAGTATTACTTTGAGTTGTCATTATATGGTTCTAAAGGAATATCAAGTTCCTAAATAAAATACTACAGCAGTTTCACCACTGACTTTGAGAACCTCCTTGAAAATGAGTGGTAAGAATGAAATAGCTGACAAATTGCAACACATGAAGTTTTGCTCTTAAGACCGTCTCTTAAATTGACATACAAAATGTTTTGCACAAGGAAACCTTTTATCATCTTTGCTACATCTGCTGAATTCTTTTATGATAACTTACATGCTGCATGAATTATTTTGCTTTGATTATTAAAAAAGAATTGGTGGTAGAAAATCTGATTTATTTCCTCACAATAAATAACAAAGCTTAGAGCACTAGGAGATGGAGTCACTGTGTGTTACAATTTAAGTTACCACTCTGATTAAACCAGTTAACTAAACTTATTCTCATTTCATACCTACCTTCACATGAAGTCTAACATTTACATTTTGCTGCTTTCATTTTCATGAATATACATAATGCAACATAGCAGGCTAAAAACAAAAAGTCTCCTTCTTTGATACTGACAGTCACACTTTGTTACATCTTCAGTGCTGCTTAGGTGTGTTAGCTGAATGAAAGTGGTACTAGCTCATAAATGTTCTTAGTCACACTGAGCAAGTCTTGGCTCAGAGTGACTGAAATTGTAATCTCCACCTTCCAAACTGAAATTTTGGTTGCTTCATCCTCTAAAGGGATGGCTGTAATGGCAGTGACTCCAGATTTGTAGAGAGCAGTCTGACCACTATGTGTACATGTGTTTGTGTGAGTAGAGCACCTTCTCCTTCCTGTGGCCAGGTGGGACAGCAAAAGGGCTGTCCCCAGCACCATCTTTGTGTTAAGGACTAGTATAGCAAAACTCTCTGCTTGTTCAAAGTCTCTTATTGTTCATTTAATAGCAGAGTGTAGGTAGTAAAGGTTAAGCATGGATCCTGTCTTCATATGATACAAAGTCAGTAGTCACAAAATCCAAACTCAGACATACGACTACTTATGAAGCAGTTTTAACAAGTAGAAAAAACATTATTGTTGCATGTATCCCTGCTTTCCAGTCTCCTTACCTCCACTAAGCAGCTGGCACTAAAAAAAACCCCCACAAATACGTTTCTTTAATAAGCGGACAAAATACCTCCTACCTTAAT